TCTGGAGGTGGGAGTGTTTGTTATTCCTGGTTCTTTCCATTAAGGAGATTTTACTTATGGGTAAGTGTTGATTTTACTCTTCTCACGATCTTTATCTCTATGATTATAGCTTTCCCTTCAGGGTGATTTATGTCTTTCCTTGTGGTTTATATTACTACCCTATTGTGTGTTTATACAGCGCATCGTCGCTAGCTGGGATTTCTGTCCGCTGCTATGGAGGGTTAGAGGGCCTAGATTTAGAATCTCGGTATCAGCTGTCACATCTATTTGCTGACTTGGCTCTCCTTGTGGGATGTTCTCCGCGTCCCTTCTTTTACCTCCACTTTTCCACCCCTCTTAGTTATCGCCTCAGCCCTGCTGTTACTCTGGTAGTTCTTCTACTCAGACAGACCCTCTGTCATTCACTCCTTCTACTCATACTACTGACGATTATCTGGCGGACGATGACATGGAACCGTTCCGATGTGACTCTGGCCCGCGCACACTCCCTACAATCCCACCAGCCCTGAATACTCTGCTGATTCGTCTGGCCCTGGGCATACCCCCTACGCTACTCCTTCTCTCCTCCTTACACTGCTCCCTCTCCCTCTCCTATTCTCCTACCAGCCCCCTTCACCTTAATAAATTGTTGTTTCTCCAATTTCGGCTGTTCTGTGTGTTTTATTACAAATTATCCTATTTCTGTTTTACTGGTATTATGTTTTTTCTTTATTTCAATCCAACACTAGCAAACTCTCAACCACACCAAGCAAGCTTTGTAACATAGTTAGTCAATTGCTGGCGAGACAATCATGTGATGTGAGCAGTCAAGCTCTGAATAAGGAGCTTGTTGATGCTAATCTGTTTATCATAGGAAGCCCCTTTGCCGAGAATGCATCGTCCAGGATGAATCAATTTCAGCCCTTGTCCAAAATAGGAAAAATGGACACAGGTCTTGCACGTATAGATCAGGGTTCCAGAGCTTTCCAAAGTCTGCCAGGAAAGGGCTAGAGGGTAGCTGTGAATGTGCAAAATCAATCTAAAAGCATTTCCTCTCGTTGCTAGCATATGTATAAGTGTTTGGAAGGCTGCATAGACACCAGTCAACACGACTAAGCTTCCCGTCATCGTGTGGACGTCAACGGTCAAGGACAATGTTGATGCTACGTCTGTTGAGCAAAAGACTCTTTATTGGATTTCACCCATTCAGGGTTTACCTACCTTTGGTTACTGCCTTGCCTGAATACCAACTCTGGCGAATGAAAACTAGCAAACTCTCAACCACCGAAGCAAGCTTTGTATAACATAGTTAGTCAATTGCTGGCGAGACAATCATGTGATGTGAGCAGTCAAGCTCTGAATAAGGAGCTTGTTGATGCTAATCTGTTTATCATAGGGAAGCCCCTTTGCCGAAAAATGCGCGTCCAGGATGAATCAATTTCAGCCCTTGTCCAAAATAGGAAAAATGGACACAGGTCTTGCACGTAGATCATGAGATAAGGTTCCAGAGCTTTCCAAAGTCTGCCAGGAAAGGGCTAGAGGGTAGCTGTGAATTCAAATCAATCTAAAAGCATTTCCTCTCGTTGCTAGCATATGTATAAGCAAGAAAATCTGCTAATACATAGAACGCAATCAACACGACTAAGCTTTCCCGTCATCGTGTGACGTCAACGGTCAAGCCCTTGTCCAAAATAAGAAAAATGGACACAGTTCTTGCCACGTAGATCATGAGATAAGGTTCCAGAGCTTTCCCAAAGTCTGCCAGAAAAGGGCTAGAGGGTAGCTGTGAATGTGCAAAATGAATCTAAAAGCAATTCCTCTCGTTGCTAGCATATGTATAAGCAGAAAATCAGCTAGAGCTGGCTATTCACTTTGACCCAGTGGCCAAATGGATAAGGCATCAGCCCTTGTCCAAAATAAGAAAAATGGACACAGGTCTTGCACATAGATCATGAGATAAGGTTCCAGAAGCTTACCAAAGTCTGCCAGGAAAGGGGCTAGACGGTAGCTGTGAATGTGCAAAATGAATCTAAAAGCATTTCCTCTCGTTGCTAGCATATGTGCGCAAGAAAATCAGCTAGAGCTGGCTATTCACTTTGACCCAGTGGCCAAATGGATAAGGCATCAGGCCAAGAATTGTTGCAGAATTATATCTTTCACTGTAACATTTTGATCACATGTGGGAACAGTTTAGCAAGGACCTGCAGAAGGATTTGCTCAATAGCAGCAATTTGGCTTGCTGGTCTAGGGGTATGATTCTCGCTTAGGGTGCGAGAGGTCCGGTTCAAATCCCGGATGAGCACATTTTTACGTTTCAGATTGGAAAATACTAACTGAACCCCGAACCTGTGGCTACTCCGGTGTTTGGAAGGCTGCATAGACACCAGTCAACACGACTAAGCGTTCCCGTCATCGTGTGACGTCAACGGTCAAGGACAATGTTGATGCTAGTCTGTTGAGCAGAAAAGACTCTTTATTGGATTTCACCCATTCAGGTTTAGCCTACCTTTGGTTACTGCCTTGGAATACCAACTCTGGCGGAAAACAGCAAACTCTCAACCACACCAAGCAAGCTTTGTAACATAGTTAGTCAATTGCTGGCGAGACAATCATGTGATGTGAGCAGTCAAGCTCTGAATAAGGAGCTTGTTGATGCTAATCTGTTTATCATAGGAAGCCCCTTTCCGAGAATGCATCGTCCAGGATGAATCAATTTCAGCCCTTGTCCCAAAATAGGAAAAATGGACACAGGTCTTGCACGTAGATCATGAGATAAGGTTCCAGAGCTTTCCAAAAGTCTGCCAGGAAAGGGCTAGAGGGTAGCTGTGAATGTGCAAAATCAATCTAAAAGCATTTCCTCTCGTTTGCTAGCATATGTATAAGCAAGAAAATCTGCTTATACATAGACACCAGTCAACACGACTAAGCTTCCCGTCATCGTGTGCACGTCAAGGGTCAACGGTCAAGCCCTTGTCCAAAATAAGAAAAAAGGACACAGTTCGTACCGTAGATCATGAGATAAGGTTCCAGAGCTTTTCCAAAGTCTGCCAGGAAAGGGCTAGAGGGTAGCTGTGAATGTGCAAAATGAATCTACAAGGCAATTCCTCTCGTTGCTAGCTGTTGTATAAGCAAGAAAATCAGCTAGAGCTGGCTATTCACTTTGACCCAGTGGCCAAATGGATAAGGCATCAGCCCTTGTCCAAAATAAGAAAAATGGACACAGGTCTTGCACATAGATCATGAGATAAGGTTCCAGAGCTTTCGAAGTCTGCCAGGAAAAGGGCTAGACGGTAGCTGTGAATGTGCAAAATGAATCTAAAAGCATTTCCCTCGTTGCTAGCATATGTGTAAGCAAGAAATCAGCTAGAGCTGGCTATTCACTTTGACCCAGTGGCCAAATGGATAAGGCATCAGCCCAAGAATTGTTGCAGAATTATATCTTTCACTGTAACATTTTGATCACATGTGGGAACAGTTTAGCAAGGACCTGCAGAAGGATTTGCTCAATAGCAGCAATTTGGCTTGTTGGTCTAGGGGTATGATTCTCGCTTAGGGTGCGAGAGGTCCCGGGTTCAAATCCGGATGAGCCCATTTTTACTTTTCAGATTGGAAAATACTAACTGAACCCCGAACCTGTGGCTACTCGGGTGTTTGGAAGGCTGCATAGACACCAGTCAACACGACTAAGCTTCCCGTCATCGTGTGGCGTCACGCGATCAAGGACAATGTTGATGCTAGTCTGTTGAGCAGAAAAGACTCTTTATTGGATTTCACCCATTCAGGTTTAGCCTACCTTTGGTTACTGCCTTGGAATACCAACTCTGGCCGGAAAACTCGCAAACTACACAACCACACCAAACAGCAAGCTTTGTAACATAGTTAGTCAATTGCTGGCGAGACAATCATGTGATGTGAGCAGTCAAGCTCTGAATAAGGAGCTTGTTGATGCTAATCTGTTTATCATAGGAGGCCCCTTGCCGAGAATGCATCGTCAGGATGAATCAATTTCAGCCCTTGTCCAAAATAGGAAAAATGGACACAGGTCTTGCACGTAGATCATGAGATAAGGTTCCAGAGCTTTCCAAAGTCTGCCAGGAAAGGGGCTAGAGGGTAGCTGTGAATGTGCAAAATCAATCTAAAAGCATTTCCTCTCGTTGCTAGCATATGATATAAGTGTTTGGAAGGCTGCATAGACACCAGTCAACACGACTAAGCTTCCCGTCATCGCGGTGACGTCACGGTCAAGGACAATGTTGATGCTAGTCTGTTGAGCAGAAAAGACTCTTTATTGGATTTCACCCATTCAGGTTTAGCCTACCTTTGGTTACTGCCTTGGAATACCAACTCTGGCCGATGAAAACTAGCAAACTCTCAACCACACCAAGCAAGCTTTGTAACATAGTTGGTCAATTGCTGGCGAGACAATCATGTGATGAGCGGAAGGCGTCTGAATAAGGAGCTTGTTGATGCTAATCTGTTTATCATAGGAAGCCCCTTTGCCGAGAGTCGCATCGTACCAGGATGAATCAATTTCAGCCCTTGTCCAAAATAGGAAAAATGGACACAGGTCTTGCACGTAGATCATGAGATAAGGTTCCAGAGCTTTCCAAAGTCTGACCAGGAAAGGGCTAGAGGGGTAGCTGTGAATGTGCAAAATCAATCTAAAAGCATTTCCTCTGTTGCTAGCATAGGTATAAGAAGAAAATCTGCTTATACATAGACACCAGTCAACACGACTAAGCTTCCCGTCATCGTGACATCAAGGGTCAACGGTCAAGCCCTTGTCCAAAATAAGAAAAATGGACACAGGTCTTGCACGTAGATCATGAGATAAGGTTCCAGAGCTTTCCAAAGTCTGCCAGGAAAGGGCTAGCCAGTAAGGTTCCAGAGCTTTCCAAAGGTAAAAGGCATCAGCCCAAGTATTGTTGCAGAATTATATGCTTTACTGTCACATTTTGATCACATGTGGCAACAGTTTGCAATAAGGACCTGCAGAAGGATTTGCTCAATACCAGCAATTTGGCTTCCGTTGGTTTCGGGGTATGATTCTCGCTTAGGGTGCGAGAGGTCCGGGGTTCATTCCCGGATGAGCCCATTTTTTACCTTTCAGATTGGAAAAATACTAACTGAACCCTGAACCTGTGGCTACTCGGGTGTTTGGAAGGCTGCATAGACGCAGTCAATACGACTAAGCTTCCCGTCATAGATGTGGCGTCAACGCCCTTTTGCCCGTCCAAAATAAGAAAAATGGACACAGGTCGCACGTGGATCATGAGATAAGGTTCCAGAGCTTTCCAAAGTCTGCCAGGAAAGGTCTAGAGGTAGCAGTGAATGTGCAAAATGAATCTAAAAAGCAATTCCTCTCGTTGCTAGCATATGTATAAGCAAGAAAAATCAGCTAGAGCTGGCTATTCACTTTGACCCAGTGGCCAAATGGATAAGGCATCAGCCCTTGTCCAAAATAAGAAAAATGGACACAGGTCTTGCACGTAGATCATGAGATAAGGTTCCAGAGCTTTCCCAAGATCTGCCAGGAAAGGGCTAGACGGTAGCTGTGAATGTGCAAAAGGAATCTAAAAGCATTTCCTCTCGTTGGCTAGCATATGTGCTGTAAGAAAAATCAGCTAGAGCTGGCTATTCACTTTGACCCAGTGGCCAAATGGATAAGGCATCAGCCCAAAAATTGTTGCAGAATTATATCTTTCACTGTAACATTTTGATCACATGTGGGAACAGTTTAGCAAGGACCTGCAGAAGGATTTGCTCACTTACAGCAATTTGGCTTGTTGGTCAGAAGTATGATTCTCGCTAGTTGGTGCGAGAGGTCCCGGGTTCAAATCCCGGATGAGCCCATTTTTACGTTTCAGATTGGAAAATACTAACTGAACCCCGAACCTGTGGCTACTCGGGTGTTTGGAAGGCTGCACAGACACCAAGTCAATACGACTAAGCTTCCCGTCATGCGTGTGACGTCAACGGTCAAGGACAATGTTGATGCTAGTCTGTTGAGGCGAAAAAGACTCTTTATTGGTTTCACCCATTCAGGTTTAGCCTACCTTTGGTTACTGCCTTGGAATACCAACTCTGGCGATGAAAACTAGCAAACTCTCAACCACACCAAGCAAGCTTTGTAACATAGTTAGTCAATTGCTGGCGAGACAATCATGTGATGTGAGCAGTCAAGCTCTGAATAAGGAGCTTGTTGATGCTAATCTGTTTATCATAGGAAGCCCCTTTGCCGAGAATGCATCGTCCAGGATGAATCAATTTCAGCCCTTGTCCAAAATAGGAAAAATGGACACAGGTCTTGCACGTAGATCATGAGATAAGGTTCCAGAGCTTTCCAAAGTCTGCCAGGAAAGGGCTAGAGGGTAGCTGTGAATGTGCAAAATCAATCTAAAAGCATTTCCTCTCGTTGCTAGCATATGTATAAGCAAGAAAATCTGCTTATACATAGACACCAGTCAACACGACTAAGCTTCCCGTCATCGTGTGACGTCAAGGGTCAACGGTCAAGCCCTTGTCCAAAATAAGAAAAATGGACACAGTTCTTGCACGTAGATCATGAGATAAGGTTCCAGAGCTTTCCAAAGTCTGCCAGGAAAGGGCTAGATGGTAGCTGTGAATGTGCAAAATGAATCTAAAAGCATTTCCTCTCGTTGCTAGCATATGTATAAGCAAGAAAATCTGCTTATCCATAGACACCCGTCAACACGACTAAGCTTCCCGTCATGCGGTAGCGTCAAGGTCAAACGGTCAAGCCCTTGTCCAAAATAAGAAAAATGGACACAGTCCTTGCACGTAGATCATGAGATAAGGTTCCAGAGCTTTCCAAAGTCTGCCAGGAAAGGGCTAGATGGTAGCTGTGAATGTGCAAAATCAATCTAAAAGCATTTCCTCTAGTAGCTAGTATATGTGTAAGCAAGAAAATCAGCTAGAGCTGGCTATTCACTTTGACCCAGTAGCCAAATGGATAAGGCATCAGCCCAAGAATTGTTGCAGAATTATATCCTTCACTGTAACATTTTGCTCACATGTGCCAACAGTTTAGCAAGGACCTGCAGAAAGATTTTCTTAGTAGCAGCTATTTGGCTCGTTGGTCTAGGGGTATGATTCTCGCTTTGGGTGTGAGAGGTCCCGGGTTCAAATCCCGGATGAGCCCATCTTTTACGTTTCAGATTGGAAAATACTAATTGAACCCTGAGCCTGTGGCTACTGGGGTGTTTGGAAGGCTGCATAGACACCAGTCAACACGACTAAGCTTCCCGTCATCGTGTGACGTCAACGGTCAAGGACAATGTTGATGCTAGTCTGTTGAGCAGAAAAGACTCTTTATTGGATTTCACCCATTCAGGTTTAGCCTACCCTTGGTTACTGCCTTGGTACCAACTCTGGCGATGAAAACTAGCAAACTCTCAACCACACCAAGCAAGCTTTGTACATAGTTAGTCAATTGCTGGCGAGACAATCATGGCTGATGTAAGCAGTCAAGCTCTGAACACACTAAGCAAGCTTGTTGTAACATAGTTAGTGGAAGCCCTTGCGGAATGCATCGTCAAGATGCATCAATTGCCCTTGTCCAAAATAGGAAAAATGGACACAGGTCTTGCACGTAGATCATGAGATAAGGTTCCAGAGCTTTCCAAAGTCTGACAGGGAAGGGCTAGAGGGTAGCTGTGAATGCAAAATCAATCTAAAAGCATTTCCTCTCGTTGCTAGCATATGTGTAAGCAAGATGTAGGCACCTCCCAAAGATGTAGTTGAATAAATGGTGTGCTTGCTGCATTTTTGGGTGGATTCAGTTGAGACTACATTTCCCATGGTCCTTTGTTTTTGAATACGTTGCAATTTGTTTCCATTGGAGTAGTTCAAGCCAATGGGTTGCCTTTTTAATTAAACTCCTAGCCAATCAGAGGTCACCTTTGTTGGGAGGGGAAAAAGAGAGGAAAAAAAGGAAAGGAAGTGGGGAAGAGGAGCAAGAGGGAGAAACACGCGGGAGGAGAGCGGGGGAAAAGAAAAAAGAGAACCGAGTTTTAACGCAGAGGTGATGTTTGTAGACTAAACTTCTATTAAAGTAGTGGCACAAATATCATTTTATTCAGCGAAAGGAGAGCAACTATCCGCTCGGTAAATTTGTGAACTGTAAGGTGAAGTGCAAGCTTAGCTGCGTTTGTTTGTTTTGCACTAGCTTGGGAAAAACAAAGCTAAGTACAATCTGTAACCCGTGGACGTTAAACTAATGTTTCGTGAGGGACGGACATCTGTAACCGCCAGTCGGTGTCGCTGTGAAACTGAAGGACGAGTACTGTGGAGAACTGTGCTGAACTGTGCTAGGTAGCATGGTAGCTACTACGCTGTTTAGGAGGAACTCCATCGCTGAACCTGGTCGCTGAATTAACCTCCTGGAACCTTGCGTGCCGTGGATTCATTCTCTCGCTCCGTGACCACAGTGGCTAATTCTTCTGTTCCAGAGGCGTGAGTAACAGAGAGGTTTTTGGTAGCGTTCATTAAAGGAACCAAGGAGGATTTTTGTTTGTATGTGCACCAAATCACGGGCCCCAACAGAAAAAAACAAGCGCTTGGTGAAGGTTCTGAACAGTTAAAAAAGGGTTTAAGTGGTAAAATCCAAACTGTACTGTTCCTGGTGTTTAATAATTAGAAAGGAGTGTGTGAGTTACTGGTCTAAATTTTGTTTCTAATATATGTATACAGTTTGAAGTTTTTTGTTTAGCATAATAAATGTGGTTATTTTGTTATACATACTACCTGGCTTTACTGGACTTGTCTTTTTTATTTAATTAGGTTTATATATATTTGGTCTAGTTATACTCAATATTTGTTTCTAGGGGAATAACAATATCGCTCATAGTGTGTGAGTGGGGAAATTCTTCAGTGGAGGCACCGCGCTATTAGGGATTAAATCATTTCCATACAGTTCTGCCTGTATAACATCATCGACTGGTAAATAGAGGTTAGCCAAATTCACCATCAACTGATAAATACTCAGGATCCTGTTCATTAAAACCATTTACTGTAGTAACCTTCTCTAATATTACACTTCCGGCGCCAGGAAGGGGTTACAAAGAAAATCAGCTAGAGCTGGCTATTCACTTTTTGCCCAGTGGCCTAATGGATAAGGCATCAGCCCTTGTCCCAAAATAAGAAAAATGGACACAGGTCTTGCACGTAGATCATGAGATAAGGTTCCAGAGCTTTCCAAAGTCTGCCAGGAAAGGGCTAGATGGTAGCTGTGAATGTGCAAAATCAATCTAAAAGCATTTGCCTCTACAAGTATATGTGTAAGCAAGAAAATCAGCTAGAGCTGGGTATTCACTTTTGCCCAGTGGCCTAATGGATAAGGCATCAGCCCTTGTCCAAAATAAGAAAAATGGACACAGGTCTTGCACGTAGATCATGAGATAAGGTTCCAGAGCTTTCCAAAGTCTGCCAGGAAAGGGCTAGAGGGTAGCTGTGAATGTGCAAAATGAATCTAAAAGCATTTCCTCTTGTTGCTAGCATATGTATAAGCAAGAAAATCAGCTAGAGCTGGCTATTCACTTTGACCCAGTGGCCAAATGGATAAGGCATCAGCCCTTGTCCAAAATAAGAAAAATGGACACAGGTCTTGCACATAGATCATGAGATAAGGTTCCAGAGCTTTCCAAAGTCTGCCAGGAAAGGGCTAGACGGTAGCTGTGAATGTGCAAAATGAATCTAAAAGCATTTCCTCTCGTTGCTAGCATATGTGCAAGCAAGAAAATCAGATTCACTTTGCCCAGTGGCCAAATGGATAAGGCATCAGCCCAAGAATTGTTGCAGAATTATATCCTTCACTGTAACATTTTGATCACATGTGGCAACAGTTTAGTAAGGACCTGCAGAAGGATTTGCTCAATAGCAGCAATTTGGCTCGTTGGTCTAGGGGTATGATTCTCGCTTAGGGTGCGAGAGGTCCCGGGTTCAAATCCCGGATGAGCCCATCTTTTACGTTTCAGATTGGAAAATACTAATTGAACCCTGAGCCTGTGGCTACTGGGGTGTTTGGAAGGCTGCATAGACACCAGTCAACACGACTAAGCTTCCCGTCATCGTGTGACGTCAACGGTCAAGGACAATGTTGATGCTAGTCTGTTGAGCAGAAAAGACTCTTTATTGGATTTCACCCATTCAGGTTTAGCCTACCTTTGGTTACTGCCTTGGAATACCAACTCTGGCGATGAAAACTAGCAAACTCTCAACCACACCAAGCAAGCTTTGTAACATAGTTAGTCAATTGCTGGCGAGACAATCATGTGATGTGAGCAGTCAAGCTCTGAATAAGGAGCTTGTTGATGCTAATCTGTTTATCATAGGAAGCCCCTTTGCCGAGAATGCATCGTCCAGGATGAATCAATTTCAGCCCTTGTCCAAAATAGGAAAAATGGACACAGGTCTTGCACGTAGATCATGAGATAAGGTTCCAGAGCTTTCCAAAGTCTGCCAGGAAAGGGCTAGAGGGTAGCTGTGAATGTGCAAAATGAATCTAAAAGCAATTCCTCTCGTTGCTAGCATATGTGTAAGCAAGAAAATCAGCTAGAGCTGGCTATTCACTTTTGCCCAGTGGCCTAATGGATAAGGCATCAGCCCTTGTCCAAAATAAGAAAAATGGACACAGGTCTTGCACATAGATCATGAGATAAGGTTCCAGAGCTTTCCAAAGTCTGCCAGGAAGGGGCTAGACGGTAGCTGTGAATGTGCAAAAATGAATCTAAAAGCATTTCCTCTGCGCGCTAGCATATGTGTAAGCAAGAAAATCAGCTAGAGCTGGCTATTCACTTTGACCAAGTGGCCAAATGGATAAGGTATCAGCCCA